GAAGGATTTTTTTTTGAGGGGGGGTTTGCTTGGGCTGCCTTAAGGGTGGACCTTGTGCAGTATGTGGAGCCGGGCATCGAACCTCAGTACCCTACACCTGAGATTGCCCAAACAGGCACTTTAAACAACTGGGCTAACCCACAAGCCCCCATAAAACAGGATCTTGCTAAATCACTGGGATCTCAGATCTGAGCCACCACACCTGGCTCCCAATTGTTTATCTGAGTCTTCTCAAGTGATTACATGGGTTTTTCACTTTAATCTTTCAATGTGTGATGAATCTGTAGTTTTCCAAGCTACCCTTTCATGCTTGGAAGCAGTCCAGCCTGCGGATGGGTTTATGGTCTTGGAAGTGCTGCCTCAGTGTGTCCCAAGGCTTCTGCACTTTGTGCCACCTTCCTCAGACCAGGGCACTAAGGAGCACGAGTTTTGTTTGTTTTTTGCAGAACTGGTGATTAAACTCAGACCCTTGTACTTGCCAGGGAAGTACTTATTCTACTGATCCATCTCCCTGGCCCCAGGAACATGAGTTTTGTTTTTGTACATTAGATAGAATCATCTTTGAAAGATGGTAGGGCTGGTGAGATGGCTCAGTGGTCTAGGGCACCTACTTGGAACAAGCTTAGCAAAGCAGAGGGACCGTGGTTCAATCCCCCAGCGCCACATGCCAGCCAGCCCCGCCCCCTGGTGGGCTGGGTTGGCCACACACACACACACACACACACACACACGTAAATAAAAATTAAAAAAAAAATTTCTATTAAAAAAAAGAAAGATGGTAAACATTTCTGTAAATTCACATAATCTTACAGTATGGGAAGATTTTTTTTGCGGATCTGGACACTGAACTCAGGCCCTTGCACTTGCCAGGGAAGCGCTTATTCCACTGAGCCATCTCCCCAGCCGCCCTTTTTCTTTTTTTGTGGCACCAGGGATTGAACTCAGGACCTTGCTCTTGCCAGGCAAGCACTTACTCTACTGAGCTATCTCCCTGGCCCGGGAAGAATTTTTTTTTAAAAAACTATTTCTGTTTCTTTAATAGTGACAGAAAAGTCAGGTTAAAATTCTTCAGTCAGGGGCCGGGGAGATAGCTCAGTAGAACAAGCACCTGCCTGGCAAGTGCAGGGGCCTGAATTCAATCCCCCGTTCCGCAAAGAAAAAAAAAACCAAACCAGCAGATAATGGCACAAAACTTTTTCTTTTTTCTTTTTTTTTGGGGTGTGTGTGTGTGTGGTACCAGGGATTGAACTAAGAACCCTGTGTTTGCCAGGAAAGTGCTTATTCTACTGAGCCATCTCCCTGGCCTGGAATTTTTAATTCTCCTGCCTCAGCTTTATATAGTGCTGGGGTTATAGGTGTGTGTCACCACTCCCAGCCTTCGGAAATCTAGTAATTCTTGTTTTAAAGCTTGTTTTATCTGATATTAATATGGGTATACTGTGCCTGTCTTGTGGTTATATCTCTGTCTTACAGTGGTTTACCTTTTTTTCAGCATTTCACTTTCTCTTGTACATTATATATGTACATAAGATCTTGGTTTTCTCTCAGTCTGACAGTCTTTGCCTTACATTGTTTAGATCAGCAGTCAGTAAGCCATATCTGCTGGCCCCTACTGCTTGCTTCTTCTTGGGGACTTAGCACAGTGGCCCAGCACTTGTCTAGCGCTGGCCCTGGCTTCACACATGCTGGGCAAGAGAACACAGATCACTAGGCTCGCCTTTACTCAATGATGGTAATGTTAAAGCATACAATCACTTTCAAATCAATCAGACCTTATCTCATAAAAGTTGAAAATTCAGGGCTGGGAAGTAGCTTGGTGGTCTAAGCACCTGGCTGACAAGCACAAGGACCTGGGCTCAATCTCCAGTCCACATGCTAAACTGGCCCTGGAACCTCGGGTGTACTGGGCCAGCCCCGAAGCCGGGTATGATGGTGCATGTCTGTATCTCAGCACTGGGGAGGGGGAGACAGAAGGATCACTACAAGTCTGAGCTGTGTACTGAGACCCTGTACCAAATAAATAAAAGATTTTTTTTTTTAAAGTTGAACATTCACTTACGATACAATGAAGCAATACCTCTCTTACTACTGTGTCTAAACACCAGAAGACAGAGACAAGAACGTTCAAAGTAGCACTACTTGAAATAGTAAAAAGATAGCTAATTGGGAAGCTGAAAACAGGAAGATCACTATGAGTCCGATCTGTGTAGCAAGACCCTATAGATCCTGTACTAAATACAGGAAAAAAAACCAACCCTAAAATATCTAACTTCAGGAAACCAGATAGACAATGTACAATAAAGAAGGAAATGAACTATATCCATAAAGTCAGTACTGGCTCAAAAACAGACCTGTTGATTAATGGAATAGAATTAAATGATACAAAAACAACCCCAGAATCAACAGCCATCTGATCTTTGACAAAGGGGCCAAATGCATACTCTGAAAAGATCTTCTCTTTAATATATGCTTGACAAACTGGTTGTCCACATGCAGAAGAGTGAGTAGAGGGGAGGGGAGATGGTTCAGTAGAGTAAGCACTTGCCTGGCAAGTGCAAGGGCCAGAGTTCAATCCCCGGTTCCACAAAAAAAAAAAAAAAAAAAAAGAGTAGAGACACACACCTCTCATTCTGTATTAAAATCAAATCAAGATGGATCAGTCAATAAAATTATGGAAAAATAAAAGAAAATTATGGAAAAAGAAAGATGGATCAGAAACCTAGATATAAAAACAGACTCAATGAATCTGCTGAAGATAAAGCCAAGGTCATCCTGAGCAGAACACCAATTGTACAAGAAATAGCACCAGCAATCAACAAGTGGGATCCTATCAAAAGCTTTTTTTTTAAATAAAGTTTTATTTATTTATTTATTTTTAAATTTTATTTATTTGTGTGTGGGGGGCAGCTCAGCCCACCAGGGGGCGGGGCTGGCTGGCATGTGGTGTTGGGGACTGAACCACGGTCCCTGTGCTTTGCTAAGCTTGTTCTAAGCAGGTGCTTTAGACCACTGAGCCATCTCACCAGCCCCTATCAAAAGCTTCTGCATAACAAAGAAAACAACCAACAGAGTCAAAGTCGACCTACTGATGTTCTGATAATTCTCTTTAAATATTCTACTAATAGCTGGAATGCATAAATAATTTTTAAAAATTAGGCCCCCCCAAATAAGACCCAATCAAAATATAGGCAATTGAAATGAAGACAATTCTCAAAAGAGATACAAATGGCCAATAGGTACATAAGAAAATGTTAGGCACCTCTGGCCTTCAAAGAAACGCAAATCAAAAACATGGAGAAAAAAGAGGATCAAAAGAGAATGTGATATGTAGGGCCAGGGATATAGCTCAGTGGCACAGTGTCTGCCTGGCACCAAAAAACCCAAAAAGATGTAAAATATATCTATATCTATATCTATATCTATATCTATCTATCTATCTATCTATCTATCTATCTATATATATATATATATTTCCCCCCACACACTGCAAACATGTACTCACAAAAATAAAAATTAAAAAAGACTAAAAATAGAAATCCAAATCCCAGGCCGGAGAGATAGCTCAGCCATATAAGTACTTGCCTGGCAAGCACAATGACCCAGGTTCGATCTCCAGTACTCCATGCTGTGCCTCACCCCTGGGCACGCTGAGCTGGCCACCGAGAACCAGTATGGTGGCACCTGTCTGTAATCCTAGCTCTGGGAAAGCTAAAAAAACAGGAGGATCACTGTGAGTTTGAGTTGTATACTGAGACCCTGTATCAAATACATAAAAAATAATAATAATAAAAA